GATTATCCTCCGGCAATGGTGAGACACCTTGCGGAGCGCGAAACACTCGAACTCAAGTAGGCAGCATCCCTTGCAACGCGCCTTCCTCCAGCCCGAAATTGAGGAGTCCGAAATCGCCCGGAAGGGTGCTTCCCGTTTCGCTCCGTTCATTCATCTCCCCAGAAGCGCATCTTCGCGGAGACGATTGAGAGACGCCTGGCACAGCGACCACCACCGCCTACGACGATGTTCTCCGGGGGTGAACCCGATTTTAACCGTGAGCGTTTGTCCCGAGACCGCGCGAGACCGTTGCTTGTTCTCGGCAACTCGGCAACTTGCGCGCAACTCTCGACACAACGATGCACAATGACCCGCGACAATGGCTACGGTGTCGCGGTGGAGCTCTTAGAGATGCGGCTTTTCGCGCGAGGCGAAATCTAGTCGACTTGTATCGTCATCTACGTACAAATCGTTACACCCGAATCGACGGTAAAACGTCCAGATTCGAACGTCAGCGCGATGTAAATCCTCGAAAATCTTCCACGTATCTGGCGCATACGTGCGCACACACGTTTATCTGATTTAATTAAGAAATTACAAACAGGATGGACCGTGCCTTTCGTATACTTTTTACGGCACTGATATATTCTAAGTAATTTGCGACACAAGATACAAGAAAAATAATTGCGATAAAGCTAAACACTAAACAGTATCTGGATTTTTCAGTAACATGGAAAATAAAACAGATATTCTAAACAGCGAGAGAGAGAGAGAGTTGAAAGATACGTACAAAAAGTGTCGGCGAGATATAAAGAAAAAAAGGATAGGCAGAAAGGAAAGAATAACGAAGTAACGAGCCGTTCGAGAAAATCAAGATGAAATCAAAACAGAATTGTGAATACTTTATTCCGATATGAGAAATCGGGGGTAGCGAGTCTCTCGCGCGTGCAAGAAGTCGGGGAACCTCCGGCAAGCCTCTGCTCGTCGTAATTGATTACGTAATTGATTACGTCACTACTGTGAGAGGAGGGACCACTCCGAAGAATGGCGGTGGTGCAGGGAAGCAGAGGCGGATATAAGTCCGGATAGGGAGGAGGAAGAGTAGGAGGAAGAAGAAGAAGAAGTCGGACGGATGATGAATGTGCTGTCTGAGCCGTCGCGTCAGCGAGGCTCTGTTGCCCGTTTGTAAACGAGCTTGCCATTTTTTCGTGGCTACACACGCGTGCTGCCAAAAGAGTATCAAACTGTCGACACATATCCGAAAACACTTTGCTCATCGATCCTCGATTACCGTCCCGCCGACCACTTGTGATCTGGAGACTCGGAAGGTTCTCCAGCGGCAAATTGCGTTCTAAACATCGGAATTGTCGAAACATCTCCTCGACACAGCATCGTACATAGTAATGTGTGCAGTTGCAAAATAGTTTGGACATGATAAGGTTGGCAGCTCAACAAGCCGTCAAAACTGAGAGTCATTATCGATGGATTTACGCAGTAATAGTAACAGTATTAATATAATCAAGAACATTAAATAATAATGATGATAATTAATAATATAATTATTAGACAAGAGCTTGTTACCTCCAAAATAATAACTCCATAATAATAACAATTTTGTCACTTTGGGGAACTCCCAACCTTATTATGTCTGAATTGTTTTGTAACGCAGCTCATCTTCCTACTTTTTTGGGTCTGGGATATAATATTCGCATTTGCCTTGGACACATTATCGAGCAGCATTATGTCTAAGTGTTGATGAGAAACTGCTTGCTGAAAAACAGCTGTGTGTGTGTGTGTGTGTGTGTGTGTGTGTGTGTGTTGTATTATAATGAGTCGATAGGACCTCTCGTCGTTGCCGCCGTCGTCGTTGTCGGCGTAGTACCTGCATTGCGTCACCACGTTCGTTAGCACAGAGAGTGTGCGCGCTCGAGTCCTTGATGAAATTGTTGTCGCGTGGATTCTGTGCTGCGACGTGTTAAAATAGCGCGATCATATATACCAAGGCCGTCGACGCCCACCTTTTCGCGTTAAGTCTACGTGACAATATTGCAAGAATGTCACTCATTATTTCAACGAGCGTGTAACGTCGGAGGGACGAGCGACTCTTTTTAATAAGGATCCGATTTGGCATTTCAAACGTGGCAGGCTAAACCGTCCCTCTTTAAACATCCACTGAAAATCATCGCGATTTGTTGCAACCTACAGAGTTGCGGGGTGAAATTCTACGGGCGAGAAAGCGAGAAGGGATCAAGGGGGACGGCTAATGAAGACCTAATAAACGCGGGGCGCCGGGCCGCTCGGCACCCCTTCACTCGGCTTGATATTTAATACAAACGTTACAATATCAAAACACGTCCTCGCACGCCGAATGCCCACTCGAGCGCACCCCTCGCGCGGTTAATACCGGCTGCCTTAAAGGTGACGACGTCGCCCCCTTCGTCATGTACCCCTAAATGCGAACCAACACGCGCGCGCGTACCCTAGAATCCGCGTTCGGTCCGCGGAGAAGGATACAACTGTAATTCCCCGGCGCTTTCGTGTTCGTGCACAATGGACGGCGCACGATTGCGAGCGAGAGAAGGAGAGAACAGAAACTAGCCCTCCGAAGACGCGCCAGTTATTTGCGCGAGTTATTATCGCTCGTTAAGGAGCGGCATTCGAAGCGTTTAACTATTTACTCGCGTTCCCTGCCCGGGACGCGCCGTTCCCCGCCCTCCTTTTCGGACTCCATCCGTTCTCTTTAATTTACTACTCCGCTTCGCTTTTTGCCCGCCGATTTGCGAGCCGCGGCAGTATTATCGGCGGATTCCTGCGCGAGCCAGAGAATCTCCGGCCACTTTCGCCGCGCTTGCGTTCCTTACGCTCGGTTTGTGCGCGAATCTAGTGGGAAAGCTCGAAGAAGACGAAACTCGAGAGAGAGAGAGAGAGAGAGAGAGAGAGAGAGAGAGAGAGAGAGAGAGAGAGAGA